ACACACCCGAAAATGACATTGTTTTGCAATTCAGAAGTGTGCCATTAAAATCAAATTACATCTGATATTTATATTTTTACCGGATTTTAAGTACATGTTAAGCGATGTTTTCTAATGAGTTCATTAGAGAATTCTCTTTTCAGCAAACTTAATTTTTATTAATAAACTGCATGCGAGGTAAAAGTTGCCAATTGTGGTCGTATGCATATGGAAGGTACAATATAATTGAAATGATGCCTGACTGACCCGATTTAAATGCATTATTTTTTAGGATCATCAATGACCAATCATATAAGCAGGATACATGTTACAACAAATTATTACGCCTTTTACGACTGTTTATTAGTGTGGCTTCATCAATGGTCATAAACACATCCCTATCTTTGAATGAATTGTTTTTTTAACTTTACACATTTGAAGTTCTTCTTATAACATTCATAAAATAACATATTATAACGGGTCCTCATAGTTGCTAACTTGCATGGCAATATCAATGACTACTACATCAGTGATGAATATTTTTCGTATACAACAGAATTTAGAATGCACTCTTGTTTCTTCATTCTTGTTTTATACCATTTGCGGTCCGGCAACTCAATCAAATTGGTTGCTAATGAATAAGATCAACGTTTCGGTGAATAATAATGTCTCAATGCATGTACAATAACACACTGATATCTTGGCTGTTTGAAGCAGATTTTTTTTATTTACTGTAATGAATGAATTCCTTTTGTTATAAAATTTTGCCAGTTGTTTCAATATGTACATGTATAACTATAAGCAAAGTTTTGAGTACATGTTCAATAATAATTTTTCTTTCTCTCATTCCACAGAATTGTTTGACTAACTATAGGGCCTAATATCTCTCTAACTATGGATCGACAGGACTCAGAATCTTCAGATTGTTTAATTAACTACAATGCTGTCAATTCTTACCTATTATTTTGCCATATTTTCCAAATATGTCCTCTAGCTCTTTCTTCGTAATAGTTCCAACTGGAACATTGCCAACAAACACTCTAGCCTTCATCAGCTCAATATCATTTATATTTGTACGATTTCCAATTGGAGGTGTTTTACTTCTTGGTCTAGGAGATCTACGTCTTAATGATGAACTATGACTGCGACTTCGACTACGGCTTCTTCTGTGAACTCTAGGGGATCTCCTTGGTGACCTTCTTGGAGATCTCCTTGGCGACCTTCTTGGAGATCTCCTTGGTGACCTTCTTGGTGATCTCCTAGGTGACCTTCTGTCGCGACTCAATGACCTACGATGTGATCTACTATTACGACTCCGACTTCTGCTGCGACTTCTTCTGATTCTTGGACTTCGACTCCTGGATCTCTTCAACGATACAATAACTCTACCAAATCGGTCTAAACGCTCGCGTGATCTACTACGGGATCTGGTTGGCATTTTTTACCAAAAACTATATCTGTAATATTCTCAAAATGTAAAGAATAACATTCAAAGAGGCAAAAAATCCTGTAATGGAAATATAAAACAATTATTGAACAATATGATAGCAATATTTAAGAGCATGCAAAATTTTTTGTCCCTCATTGTTCTTTTCTCTCTGACCTTAATTTTCAACCTCCTTGCTAATTTTGGCTCACAGTAAAATTACTGTTGTCAATTTTAAATTGTCCAAATCATTATTTCTCTCCTAGACTAGTATAAATTAAAGCAGAACTATTTGCTTCCACCCCTAAGAAACTTGTAAACATGAAGTTATTATTATAATCATTTGACAAGTTTGAGGAAATTAAAAGGGCATATTTCTGATTTAACTGGTCTGAACCAAATTCTTGCCTGTAGAATCAATTATTCCCTAGATTTGTAAACCAACCCAATAATAAACAACAAATCCACAATGACCCAGACCATGGTGAACTTATGTCAAAAATCATATCACTAAAGCATTGAAATAAAGTCCCAAGATTTACAAGATGTCAAAATATTAAGGATTTCTTTTTCATGTTATTTGCAGTATTATACAAATTTTGTCTACTTATATATTCCATTCTGTTTTATGGAACTTCATCCTGCATTTAAACAATTATTTTTAAATATTTTTGCCAGATGCAAATGGTCATTTAATGCATAATGTACTGTACATTTATGTATTTTATATATATTGTAAAAAGACACATTAGTATACAGGACATGTAGGATGTCTGAACAAATAAACCCACTAAATATAATTTATTTAATACAAATTAAAACTGCCAATTTTTTGTTGTTCTACAGAACAACTTTTGGCATTCATGGTAACGTCTCTCTTCATTCTCATGTACTTTTTATTTGACGTGTTTCACCAGTTTTTGCAATAACTTAATGGAAATCAAGATTTAAAGACAAACTTATACTTGTATTTACCTTTAAGAACATCTCTTAGTGCAAAATGTAAAATTCCGAATAAAAAACCGTTTTGAAAAAAATCCCGAAGAGTCTTAATTTGATGTGCCTACCATGCTGAAAAGTAGCAGATCAACATTTAAGGTCTCTAGCAAGAACTTTAGACTTAAAAAAAAAATTTCAACAATGCAGACTTAAAATTTGTCTTACCACCAAACTAGACTCTTACAACTAAAATATGCAGCATCCTGAACCAGTTTACAATATACATGTATGATTTTTTCCACAAAACTGAATTAAATGAAGTAAATCTTAGCCAATTGATAACCTTTATGTTTAAAAATATTTGTAGAAAGATTTAAAATGTCATAGCTTGACATGAGATAAACTTAGATCTCCTCATGCCAAGATGTGGAAAACTATTTTAAAGAAGTAAAAACTCTTTTTTTTTTGTCAGAAATTTTGAAACAGTGCAGTGAATGAAAAAAATCCATTAACATGATTAAGAAAGATATTTTTACTATTTATTGTCACTAAATTTGTTTCATGGAAATAAACATTGTTTTATAACAGTAAAATTCACTCTTAATCCGTTTCTACTTTCTAGTCATGAGTCGGCATCATTACCCTAAAAGGAGAGAAAACTACTCAAGAATTCTGAATTAACGGAAATTGAATTTAAAATTTGATTGAAATGAGTAAACATAGCACATATACCTAGTCTTTATTATACCCGATATTGATAATATAAATAATTTCATTTGCAAAGGTTTTCTTTAAAGTTTGGCACTGGCTATGGTTATCCGCACAAATGTAGCCCGGTTTTTGTTTCATTAATTGTTGTCGTAGCAATGTCATTGTGACTAGTTTGATAGCCGTTTGGTATCTTCCGCCTTTCTTTTACATACATGTGTTAGACACAAAATGGAAGAGGGACCCAATTTCATATTTTATTGTTACCTGCAGTTATTGTTACCCGCAAATTTTTTACATTTGAAAATAAGGTCTTTTTTGTGTGTAGCATCAGGATACTTTGTACTGTCTTCGTGTCAAAATTTCCATCTTGAATCGTTGAAGTTTATCATTGAAATTTAGAAAAGATATAAACTTTTCACCAACCACAAATTGGACATCTTGTTCATTTGAATAGCAAGATGTTTTAATCAACCCCCTTTGGCAAAAATGAACGTCACATGGGTCAAAACATCTGGAAGTTTAATCATGTTAATGATTTAACATCATAATTTTATTGTTTAAATTTATTTCACAGATTGCTCGCAAATCAAACATTTTTATGAATTTTTTCGTGTAACAACTGCAGGTAACAATAAAAAATTAAATTATTGGGTATCTGGTCCGTTCCCTCCCAAAACACATTCGCACCCCACGTTTGCCTACTGGGTTTGTAGGCACCCTATTTTTATGCAGATACCAGTTGAATTATTAGATGTATATATCAATATATCTGTATTTTCATGAATAAAAGTTCGTGAATTTTTGCGAATGAAATATTTATTGTGTGATTAGATAATTAATTATCAAATGTTAATCATGTATGATAACTATTAATTAGTATTTATAAAGCTAATTGGGTATCATCAAAAGTCCATTACTAGAGTAATGGACTTCTGGTATCATTGTAAAAACAAAGAAGATTTTCAATCGAAAGCATGAAAGATAAACATGTGCTTTGTAGCCCGGTTTTTGTTTCATTTGTTGTTGTCGTAGCAATGTCATTGTGACTAGTTTGATAGCCGTTTGGTATCTTCCGCCTTTTTTTTACATACATGTGTTAGAGACAAATGACGAGTCCTTTGATCATCATGAAAATATCTATTATTCATTTTCGTCAAAATAATTCACAAAATCAAAACCTGTTTACGTTTTTAGATTGTCACTTTATTTTTAACAATAAACACACTTATTATCTTTATTTTATAGCAATACACCAACTAAAGCATAACCTTTAAAAAGGGTGCAAATGTGAATGAGAGCGATCGTGACTTAGGGCGAATGGACCCAGATTCAAATTATTGTTGCCTGCAATTTCCGTATGAAATCTGGTCCCTCTCCAGAAATACATCTCGACAATTAGTCTCGGAAGTAACAATAATTATTTATAGTTTTTTTTTGCGTTAACAGTAGCCAGTGCCATAAGTTTTGGTGGTTTTCAGGGATTCGCATACACAGTTACACTATCTATCAGTTGGCAAGTTGTAGCCATTTTTGGCACTTTTGTTCAGGTGTCTATCATACATGTATGTGTAAACAATTTTAGCTATGTACATATTTCAAATACTTTGATACTAAAAGTGTTTGTTTTGATGATCATTAAATCATACATTATTTAGCTTTTTCTAGCACATGTGCAAGATACGAAAGTGAGCAAGAAACGTTCTAATCTGGTTTATTTCATCGTTTTTTTTCTGCAAACCTTTGATTACGTGAAGTATTTCACAAAACAAGCACTATCTTTCCAAATCTTATTGGAAATGTTTCAGTAAATAACAAACAGTACCAAATGTAGATAATGAACAATCGCCCGCACTGCTTCAGCCTCGTTGTCGATTATACATTATGCATTGGATGATATTATTGGCTATGCTGAAAAACGTATCCAATCAAAACATTTTTTACAAGTAAGACCGGTGCTAGTTCTTGATGCCGAAAATGTCAGCTGAGCAGACAGAGGGTACTAAAAGAGTTATATCTCATGAACACGACCAATAATTTCAGTTCAAAAACTCATTAACATAAAAAAAACTGAGCCCTTTTAAAAAATATCTAGGACATACCCTGTCACACGCAGGTTGATCAGTTGTAATTGACAAAACATCCTGTCTTGCAGTTTGAGTTTTGACAGCTCTGCTGGCAAAAAAAAGTTGTACACAATATAGTGTTATTCCTCTTATATTAACCAATATTGTTCAAAGCAGAATATCATATTTGCACGACCTTGCAATGCATATGTAACAGGAGTATGTTTTGTGGTAAAGACTGAATCTTGTAACTCGTACTCTGTTCATTGCAAAGTTCGATATTTGATAGTCCAAATAATTACACCGTCTAGAAATGCTATTTTTGATTTTTGCTGTTACGCCTTCCTACAAAGTTGAAGGTAGGCGTCCAAAAAAAATTTATCAAAAAGCTGTACAAAACGTCATAATTATTTGGACTAGATATTTGATATAAACAAGTATAACGTTAGATGATTTATTTACTTTAAAAGTACTTAATGGATTGTTACATAAACAATATAATTCCCCTAGTGGTAGACGTTCTAGAATTCTTACCAAGTGAAAAGCTTAGTTAGTTTCAGTTGTTTTGTTGTTGTCAATATCCAGGCTGCTAGGGACCCATGCGCTGGCTGTATTTATACTTAGGACCCGACTGGGCTCGGGACAACGGAAGTGTCCAGATAGGACTACAATGTAAAGCAACATGACTTTATAGAATGAGGGAAATATGTGTATGTTGGGTCTGAATGTCTACACTGCAGCTACAATTGAAAACACGTATTCCTCGGTTCCGTGATGGACATTAATTAAAGTTCACGGAAATCCCTGATGGACACAATTAAATGATTGCAACATGTCACCTAGATTATGTCCCCATTGATCAGCGAAGTCCGCGATGACAGTCTATTATTGGGAATTTTTAAGATTTTAAAATCAATTCAGGTACTGAAGTTTGCTATCTTTTTGTGAGTGCAAATAAGATAAGCAATGAGGTCTATCAAGGTCTGTGTGTAGAATTAATAATAAAAATTATCAAGGTCTGCATGTAGAATTAAAAAAAAAGTTTAAACACTTCTTTATTTATAACAAATTTATATTGTGATATCTAAATTACTTGTGTTGATTCAACGAAAAATATTTTAATTTTGTCTTCCAATAAAGAGTGATTTGTTTTTACTAATTTAAAACATGCTATCTTTATTGTACCCTGATAGATATGTTACATCGATTACAATACCTGGTCGATTGAAATTTTCATGGTGTTTTTTTTCGAGCCTTCGACTTTAGTCGAAAAAGCGAGACATAGCGATCCTACATTCCGTCGTCGGCGGCGTCCACAAATATTCACTCTGTGGTTAAAGTTTTTTGAAATTTTAGTAACTTTCTTAAACTATCCTGGATTTCTACCAAACTTGGACAGAAGCTTGTTTATGATCATAAGATAGTATCCAGAAGTAAATTTTGTAAAAATAAAATTCCTGTTTTTCCGTATTTTACTTATAAATGGACTTAGTTTTTCTATCGGGAAATATTACATTCACTCTGTGGTTAAAGTTTTTAAAATTTTAATAACTTTCTTAAACTATCCTGGGTTTCTACCAAACTTGGACAGAAGCTTGTTTATGATCATAAGATAGTATCCAGAAGTAAATTTTGTAAAAAAAAAAATCCATTTTTTCCTTATTTTACTTTTAAATGGACTTAGATTTTCTGCCTGGAAACAACACATTCACTCTGTGGTTAAAGTTTTTAAAAATTTAATAACTTTCTTATACTATTTTGGATTTGTACCAAACTTGGAAAGAAGCTTGTTTATGATCAAATGCTAGTATCTAGAAGGAAATTTTGTTTTCTTCCAGTTAACATTACATTCAGTCTGCAGTTAAAGTTTTTAAACATTTATTAGATTCATAAACTATCCTGGGTTTTTTACCAAACTTGGACAGAAGCTTCTTACAATCAAAAGATAGTATCAGGAGGAATATTTTTATTGTTTACTTCCTCATTTTTGTTGAGCCTGCGATTAACAGAAAAAGTAGGCGAGACACTGGGTTCCGCGGAGCCCTTACGAATTTTTGTCGAGCCTTCGACTTTTGTCGAAAAAGCGAGACATAGCGATCCTACATTCCGTCGGAGTCGTCGTCGACGGCGTCCACAAATATTCACTCTGTGGTTAAAGTTTTTGAAATTTTAATAACTTTCTTAAACTATCCTGGATTTCTACCAAACTTGGACAGAAGCTTGTTTATGATCATAAGATAATATTCAAAAGTAAATTTTGTAAAAAAAAAATGTATTTTACTTATAAATGGACTTAGTTTTTCTGCCAAGAAACATAACATTCACTCCTTGGTTAAAGTTTTTGAAATTTTAATAACTTTCTTAAACTATCCTGGATTTCTACCAAACTTGGAAAGAAGCTTGTTTATGATTAAAAGATAGTATCCAGAAGTAAATTTTGTAAAAAAAAATTCCATTTTTTCCGTATTTTACTTATAAATGGACTTAGTTTTTCTGCCAGTTAACATTACATTCACTCTGGTTAAAGTTTTTAAAATTTTAGCAACTTTCTTAAACTATCCTGGATTTGTACCAAACTTGGACAGAAGCTTGTTTATGATTAAAAGCTAGTATCTAGAAGGAAATTTTGTTAAAATTTTGTTCAATTTTTTCTGTATTTTACTTATAAATGGACTTAGTTTTTCTTCCAGTTAACATTACATACAGTCTGCAGTTTAAGTTTTTAAAACATTTATTAGATTCATAAACTATCCTGGATTTGTACCGAACTTGGACAGAAGCTACTTACAATCAAAAGATGGTATAGAAAGGAATATTTTTATTAATTGTTTTCCTCATTTTTGTTGAGCCTGCGATTAACAGCAAAAGTAGGCGAGACACTGGGTTCCGCGGAACCCTTACGAATTTTTACTATTTATTGAAGTAAAAAAATGATAAAAAGTAAGATATATTTAAACTTTTATCTTTTGGCATGTTTCAGCTGATATAAATGAATGAATTTGATATGTTTTATTCATTTTTGTTGAGCCTTCGACTTTAGTCGAAAAAGCGAGACATAGCGATCCTACATTCCGTCGTCGGCGGCGTCCACAAATATTCACTCTGTGGTTAAAGTTTTTGAAATTTTAATAACTTTCTTAAACTATCCTGGATTTCTACCAAACTTGGACAGAAGCTTGTTTATGATCATAAGATAGTATCCAGAAGTAAATTTTGTAAAAATAAAATTCCTGTTTTTCCGTATTTTACTTGTAAATGGACTTAGTTTTTCTGCCAGGAAACATTACATTCACTCTGTGGTTAAAGTTTATAAAATTTTAATAACTTTCTTAAATCATCCTGGATTTGTACCAAACTCGGAAAGAAGCTTGTTTATGATCATAAGATAGTATCCAGAAGTAAATTTGTTAAAAAAAAATTCCATTTTTTCCGTATTTTACTTATAAATGGACTTAGTTTTTCTGCCAGGAAACAATACATTCACTCTGTGGTTAAAGTTTTTAAAATTTTAATAACTTTCTTAAACTGTCCAGGATTTGTACCAAACTTGGACAGAAGCTTGTTTATGATCATAAGATAGTATCCAGAAGTAAATTTGTTAAAAAAAAATTTCATTTTTTCCGTATTTTACTTATAAATGGACTTAGTTTTTCTGCCAGGAAACATTACATTCACTCTGTGGTTAAAGTTTTTAAAATTTTAATAACTTTCTTAAATTATCCTGGATTTGTACCAAACTCGGACAGGAGCTTGTTTATGATCATAAGATAGTATCCAGAAGTAAATCTGTTAAAAAAAAATTTCATTTTTTCCGTATTTTACTTAAATATGGACTTAGTTTTTCTGCCAGGAAACAATATTTTCACTCTGGTTAAAGTTTTTAAAATTTTAATAACTTTCTTAAACTATCCTGGATTTGTACCAAATTTGGACAGAAGCTTGTTTATGATCAAAAGCTAGTATCCAGAAGGAAATTTTGTTAAAATTTGTACCTGTTTATCCATATTTTACTAATAAATGGACTTCGTTTTTCTTCCAGTTAACATTAAATACAGTCTGCAGTTAAAGTTTTTAAAACATTTATTAGATTCATAAACTATCCTGGATTTATACCAAACTTTGACAGAAGCTTCTTACAATCAAAAGATAGTATCTAAAGGAATATTTTTATTGATTTTTTTCCCTCATTTTTGTTGAGCCTGCGATTAACAGCAAAAGTAGGCGAGACACTGGGTTCCGTGGAACCCTTACGAATTTTTAACACTTTTACCTACTAATTCAGTCCTTATAGGTCATGATATTGCATATTTTAGATATATATAAAGAATTGACAAATTAATTATTATAACATTTTTCAATCAAGATAATTAAGTCTCCCAAACGAATTCTTCTTCTTCTTCTTCTTCTTCTTCTTCCTCTTCCGCCGCTTTTAAATTTGAACTTGTCCGCACACGTTCTCCATAACCGCTTGTCAGATTAACTTAGGGTTTCACAATATGTTAGACTAACATGTCTAGTGGTGCAATCAGGGTTTTGTTTGTGCAATGGGGTTTATAAAGGGGTACTTTGAGGGGCAAAAAGAAAAGAGGGTTTTACTATAGAACCCTATGGGATTTTATTTTTTTAAATTTTCAAATGATTATAAATTGAAAACCGTTTGTGATAGACACAATCTTTTTAATTGAAAATGTTCTAAATGATAAAGCCCATTAAATGAAATACAGGGTTTGTCCCCAGGGGTCAACCCCACCCCCTGCCATTTAAGAAAGTTCTAATACCTTGTAAGTGGTCAAGATCCCCATCCCTAAACCATATATATTCTGGTTTGTCATGCTAAGATGGTTTGAATGATATACAGGGTTAGTCCCCAGGGGTCATCCTGACCCCCTGCCATTTGAGAAAGTTCTAATATCTTGTAAATGGTCGAGATCCC